CCCCAAAACCCCAAAACCCCAAAACCCCAAAACCCCTTATTTCAATTTATTTATTGAAAATGTACTCTGTAAAATCCAGGATAGAAACCTTACTAAAGGAGTCTGTGAGAGTAGCCCTCCCTAAAAGAAGCAGCATTGAGGCAAAGGCATTGCAGGAGTTCACCGTCTCTTCATGCTCACAAGGTAATAAAGGGCAGTTTCATTATACAACTAATCTTCCTCAACTGATTTGGCAGAAATCATTAGAAGAGGCTAAGAAGGAAGGAAATAAAGATCAACATGATTATTACGGGATGGCTTCAGCCAAAGGTAAAGCTTAAGACAATCTTTAGATATTGCAACTGATATCATTGTGACTATGGAACAAGGAGAAAGATCAATGTTCAAATTCATTGAAGTGGGGAATCTCCCAACAGACGGTAGGTTCTCAAAATTTTATATATTTAGATGGAATCGGCTTCAGTATTGATTTCCAAATAAGAGATGAAATATTTCAGGAGCATGAGGATGTCTTCACAAAGATTTTAAACAATGAAAAGATACCTGAAGATGTACCCTTGCTTGAATTTGTGGTCACTCCTGTTAACAAAGTGGAGGCTGAGGGAAATATCGAGAGGTTCTTCCGAGAATATGTTAGAATTGCTCATATCTCTCAGATATACCAAAATATCCAACTACAGTTTAATAACTACATAGACAGGAACAAGGCTACAGCAATTGCTCTGAGCCTTAACTCCCATTTCTCAGATACTAAAACAAATGGCGATGTTATCTTCTCTGATTACATTGATGAATTCACAGATAAAGAGCATAATTTGCATGATATGATTCATGTAGTAGAGAATCACCATGAAACCCTATATAAGCTTAATCTATTATGTAAACCTATTCAAACCTTTAGCCTAGCGGCAGGTGTTGAGAAGTACAAAAAGGAAGCATTTGAGGGACAGAAGAAAGATCCTGTGACTATTCCTCCTAAAGCACATCTTTATGATTTGATGCTTGATTTGATCACTAAGAATGGTCCTGTTGCTCCTTGCCATAGCAGTTTGCTGCCTGCTAGCAAAGCTGCAGGAGTCACTCTCTCATTTTTACCAGATATGTAAATATTCAATAACTCTAGTATTATGCGGGGTTTTGGGGTTTTGGGGTTTTGGGGG